CGGGGCTTGTGTGCCGCGTGACGTCGCTCGGCCCGCCTCGTGTGCTCGGGGCTGAGGCGCTGCGCCTGCGGGCGGGCTGCGCCCTGCGCACATTTCACAGTTGACAGCATGAAGCACTAGGGACAGGCAGTGTGGCGGGCCCCCCCGGGACTGCGGGGGAGAGGGAGGCGTTGAACCCCAGGCTGTGCTGTAGATGCGGTCTCTTTTCTTAGACTAACTACACGGTGGGAAAATGGTTCTTTGCAAGCTTTGGGGTACAAACACTCTTCTTCAGGCACAGGGCGAGTCTGTTGGATCTGCGACAGAAGTTCAGTCAACCGATTTAACCCAAATCGGTTAAATCTGATAGTCGGTCCATCCCGGTTCGTCTTAAACTGGTCTTGGCCATTTTGAAAGTGGTTTATGTGCACAGGGGTGTCGATTGTAGCCGTGTTGGGCTAAGGACACAGGCAGACTGGGTTCTTTGGGTACACTGAACTTGTGTTCTGTTACAGATCTGAACTGGCTTCTGATTGCCTATACTGGTTTTTGTGTCCTTACCCCCGTGTTTGTGCGCTGTCCTGGGAGAAATATGCAAGACCAGGCAGGCACCTTCAGAGCCCATCACAGTGAAACTCCCTGATCTAAAATGGGCAGGAATGAAACACAGAGCAAATGCACAGGCTCCAGCACCTGTCCTGCATGTGTATCAAGGCCTCCTCTGGCCAGGGAGGTGTTTCCTTCTGTGGACTCTAAGCACTGACCCCTCATCTCTAGTTAGGAAACTCCAACTTGGCCCTCTTTGAAGAATGAGACAGACCCCAGCACAGCCAGGAACCTAGTCTGAACCCTCACCTGGTATGTGGAAAGCAGCTTCAAATCCCCTTTAAAGACCCTCTTTTCAGTTGCTTATAGTTCTTCCTTTTTTTTTAATCAGTGTAGGATGAAACTTCCCATGCTAGGCATATAATTAAGTCTGGGGGGGCGTTTCTTGATTTCCCCGCCACACTTTTGGGAACAAGGCTAGAGAGAATGAAGTTGTTTATCAGTGTTAAAAGTGCAGCAACCTTTTCTTTGGAAAGCTCTGACAACTTCATTCTTAATAAAAAGGATGTGGGATTTGGTTGAGGGATGGGGAGTTTTCAGATTGTGTCTTGCTGTCCCTGTGACACTCCATCAAATTGGGGCAAAGTTACAAGACCTTTGAAAAGATTGCCGTTCACACATTTGCAAGAGACATTTGCTAGAGTTTGACAGCTAAAATCTCCAAAGATTCTGTCTTCGCTGGCCATGCTTAAGCCTCTCACAGCTCCTAATACTGACAGTACAGACTGTGTAAGCACCTCCCCAGTGTGTTAAAGGAGCATTGTATCAGGATTTCAAATCAAGTACTGTACTCAAAGATGGGGAATGTCAGAATTCAGGTTCTCTGTATTGGGTTGTATTCAGCTTGGGCCTACAGTTCTAGGTTTTCATTAGCACAGTATTCATTGCTGCTCCTCTGCTGCCAGATTTCTGGACCTGTGGGGAACCCTGCAGGCCAGAGAGCATGGCCCTGCACGCTAGATAGAGCACACGGGGCCACGAGGGTGTTGGACTTGATTCAGTACACCAAGCTGTGCTGAGGTGGTGGTACAGGGTCCTATCTAGGCATCAGCCCCCAACAGCATCTGGCCCTTGAGGGCTGAAAGAGTAAACACTACTTTGCTAGCAAGATAAGTGGGAAAATACCTACTTTGAAAAATTTTGTACTGTGACCTCCATGGCTTAGGCTTTGAAAAATTTTGTACTGTGACCTCCATGGCTTAGGCTTGAGCTAGGACTCTGAACAGTTTTGTACCCTTGGCATGGTATTAGCACTTATGCAGCTTTTTTATTGAAAGGAAGGGACCTCGCTAGATCATTGGGTCCAGCCCCCTGCGTAAGGGGCAAGAAGTCAGCTGGGGTCAAATGATCCCAGCAAGATAGCATCCAAGTGTTTCTTGAAAGTGTCCAGAGTAGGTGCTTCCACTACTTCTGTAGGGAGTCTATTCCAGGCTCTGGGGACATGGACGGTATAGAAGCTTTTTCTTATGTCCCACCCAAAAATGGTTTTCCCCATGGGCAACTGGTGCTGCCTTAGTCAGGGGGGGCACATGCCCCCCTGTGACCAGTCCTCCCGACTGGGGGGGGGGGGCCCCCCGCAGC